TAATTTTTTCTATTTTAAAGATAAAAATAGAGATATACATTAGAGATGGTCTCAGCAGAAATCTGATTCGCTATATTTCGAGATTTTAAAAAATGAAATAGTCAGAATACGGTAGTTAAAATAATCGAATTAATGTAACAAAAGTCCATGTGATCCCATGTGGTTTACTTATTCGAGAAGACATGCTAACCAATCAATAGCCCAAATGATTTAGAGAAATTTAAAAAAATGTAATTTTTGGAATATTACTTTACAAATTTTTATAAAAATATTATTTTTTCATTATTATTTTTTTATATTATTTATGTTTGGGTTAATTATATTTTATTAGGGTTTAGTTTTGAATGTTTAGGAGGTTTTAGGTATTAAAACATTTTTTAGGATTTTTAATTTTAAGATATAAATTTTATAAATATATAATTAGTGGCATTTTTGTAAATAAACACTTTTAAGTGGTATTTTTGCAAATATGCACATAAAAAATGACATTTTTGTAATTGCTCCAATAATTTACTGTACTACATGATTAGCATCTCAAATAAAAAAGCACGGATGATTAGTTTATTAAAACCGATTTAATAGTTGAGTTATTCAAATAGTTGAGAGTTAAAAAAACATTTTAAATACATCAGAGCGTCGTGATCAAGTGACAGTAGTATTACGGTGGTTTGAAAATTCGCTATATAAATTACGGTTTTGAACTGAAACCCACCATCTGTAATTTGTTTTATTCTAGTCCTTTTGCCCTTTTCTAGATTACCATATCATAGAAATATGATATTTGCTTATCCATGACTGATTGGGATCAACTTTTTTTAAAACAAATTATGGTCGGTTCTATTTATAAATTAAACAACCTTTTTTGAAAATGTATAATTTTTTTATTTATTTCTAAGTTGTGGTCTTCTAGAACTTACAATATGTTGTAGAGTTCGCCAAAAAAAAAAAAAATGTTGTAGAGCATGTTCTCTGTCAAGTTGGTTTTGGATTCTAACGCTAAAAGACGATAACATGAATTCGAGAAGGTAGTGCGACTTTAAAAGAGGCAATATAGGATTTTAAAAGAGACGTTTAAAATAATTTATTAGGTTCTACAAAATGACAAAATAGCACATAAAATCTTACTATTTGTTCTAAGTATGCATATAGTTCAAACGTGTTTAAAATTTTTAATTTTGCTTTACAGTATCAGTGTGTTGATTTTGTAAGCATGAGATTGTTTTTAGACAAAAATAATTTTACAGCACGGTCAAAAACCTTTTTTTTTTTTTTTTGAGAAAGGGTTAAAAATTACGAAAACGTTTTTAGATTAACAAATTCTAAATATATTTTAATATAATATCTACTAGATATAATTTATGGTTTCATTTCCTTTTTGTTTTTCCGTGACGACTTATCCAAACTCTGGGTAATGTCTAACGATACACATTAACAATTTAATATAAGTATTTCTTAAGCGTTTAAGTAGAAGAAAAAACGTGACAAAAAGGAATTAAGAAAAGAAAACAGCTAAACCCTAAAAAGATGAAAGTTCAATATTTGGAGCCTTCGAGGTTCCTTCCTCTTACTTTCTCATTATTTTTTTCTGCTTCATTAATTTTTGTTTCTTGTACTTTCATTTTTGGTGTATCTTTTCTCAATCGTTTGTTGCCCATCCAAATTATACTTTAAAATGGTGTAATGACATTATATTTCAGTAAATCATGCAGAAGTACAACGTTCATTCAAATCGTATTAGTGTTTTAGATTTGGCTTAATAAAATAAATTTATATGAGCGATTTATTTCGTCTGTCTATCTATCAGACGTTAGAACTAAAGGGACAATTGCAAAAAATACGATTTTTCGTGTGTACATTTGCAAAAATATTATTATAGGTTGTTTATTTACAAAAATACCACT